AGCTAACAGCTACTGTAGCAGCTACTGTAGCTAACAGCTACTGTAGCAGCTACTGTAGCTAACAGCTACTGTAGCAGCTACTGTAGCAGCTACTGTAGCTAACAGCTACTGTAGCAGCTACTGTAGCTAACAGCTACTGTAGCAGCTACAGTAGCTAGCAGCTACAGTAGCTAACAGCTACTGTAGCAGCTAGTGTAGCTAACAGACAGCGGGGAACACGTTGTTTGTATCAGAGCAATGAGAACAATGTGTGAGACGTGTCTTTCCCCAAAGTGCAGCGGCTCAGTGGGACACGAGTGTGTGCGCGCCACGGACACGGGAGTGCGCTTTGGAATAACGAGCGTGAGAGAGCGTGAAAGATGTGGCGTACGGACATGGCGTACGAACATAGCGATTCTTGAACGTTTGAAGTGTTATTGCAACAGCACCAACTGTGAGAGCGAGCATCAGGCCAGAGGGAGACTGTTAGCATTAGGTTAGCTTCAAAATGACTGCTCAACACCATAGACCCGCGGTTAGCGCGTTAGCGCCGTAGTTCTGCGCTGGAGAAAATAAAAATCGAATTTTTAAAAAAAGAAATCGCCCTAAACGTAAAACTCGAATTAATGATTAAAATCGATTAATCGCCCAGCCCTACCTCAGGCCTACATCCAGTCTGTTGTTTGGTATACAGTAGTTGGAAGCCCATCTCGAGTTAACTGCCATAGAGAGCCCGTCCCCAATAGACTTCTGCTTTTAATCTTTTATAGCATTCAGTAGAGCTGGGTAACATGGCAAAAAAATGACATCTAAATTTCATTCCCCACTTTGATCGATTCTGGTTTTGAAAAGATTTTAATAGAAGGCACCATTTAGTTTGTACAGATGCTGACATCACAACCATATTCCAACTTGGAACGCTGTTGTCTACAGTGAAATTGCTCAAGTAACTAGAGAGACACCGAGAACCTTGTTTTGACAATTTTGGCATTTCTCACATAATCAATTTTATTAAGAATGTAAATAATAATTAAATGTATTGCCCAGCCCTATGGATGCTATTCTGTCAAAGAAGGTAAATGTAAAACATCTCTTTGGGGGATGCTGTTTATATAAAAATAATTTACAACTTTATGCATAGTGAATGTTTCATTGTATGTGAAACAATGCCATGCTATTGTGCTGAGTGAAAAGGCTTATAATGTCATCTCGGTGAAGACTTAAGATGTGAGAAATGTGTAAGGATAAACTTAAAATGATTTACTCATTATGTTAATGAACATCACAAATGAGACCAGGTGAAAGACATATCAATATTAGTTGTACATTACACAAGGTTTGTATGGGGATAGAATATGGAATAAGTCTTAAGACAAACTTAATTAAGTTCTGTTAAAAATATATATTTTGCAACCAATCTCCCTCTCTCTTCCAATACTGCAGCCATGTTTATTGAACGCAGAACAGGCTCTCGTTCTATCCCTTCCTCCCTCCCTCTCTTGGTTTAAGCTCCTCCCCCTCTCTGTCCTTCTCTCCTCCATCTTCCCTCCATTTCCTCTCGCTCTGCACTGCACTGTGTACCCCTTACATGGTACACCCCTCCTATTTTCTCCCACGTTGCTCTCTCTATTCTGTCATTCCCCCAGCCTCTCTCTCACACTCTCTCTGTTCATCCTCCCCTCCCCCTCTACTGTCTATAACTGTTGCCTTTCGTTTATCTCCCCCACCGCCTCACCCTTCCATCCATCTCTTCTACTTTTCTCATTCTTCTGTATGATTTCACCCCCATTTTGTCCCTTGCTTTTTCCCGTGTTCCGTCTTTCCTCCCTCCCCCATCTGATTATACCCCCTCCTATCCCCCAACAGTTTCACTCTGTTTTGGCCGATTATGACTTTGAACTCTTCCCCCTCATGTTGTCTCAGTCCTGCTGAGCCCCATAATTCCATTATATTATAGTCGTTGAGTTTGTGAGTATTTATGGGGATACTACGAACACTACACAAATCATTAGAGAAGATTCTGTCTCATTCAACAAGTTGGGATAGATGCATAATGACTCAAATGAAAGTAGTACAACAATAATAATAATGATAATAATAATAATAATGCATCGGTTTTATACAGAGCTTTTTTGGACACTCAAAGACGCTTCTCATGTCATTATTCTTTCACTCCATACACGGTGGTGATAAACTACTACTGTAGCCACAGCTGCCATGGGGCACACTGACAGAAGCGAGGCAACCAGTATATAGGATAATAATAACAATAATATATTGCCTCCCAAAAGAACTAACACGTCTGATAACTTTTTTTTGAAAATGTCATGTTTACAACCATAAATATACATTTCTGTAAGTAAACACACAAGTAACAGACAATTGTGAGTTGACCTATCACTGATTAAAATATCCCTATTTTTGTTTTGTGTTTTTGGAGCTGAATTTGGATGATTTTTCCTAACTTTACCAGCCCTAGGTCAATTAGACCCTTTTAAACCCCAATTTAGGGTATTTTACTTCTACTTTTAATCATCTGTGGCCGGCCATTTTAACCCAAGGGTAGCACAAGGGTTAATTAAATAGAGCCCAGATGCGTGTAATCTACTGTCAGGATAATTACAACTGTTCTGTGAGGGACAAGAAGTGTGACGGTCACTAAACCGCATCATGAATGGAAAGAGTATGGCACCACTGCAAATCTACCCAGACCCGTCTGTCTCCCCGTCAAGGACAACACTCAAGAGTTCCAACAAGGACATCACAGATTTAGTCAAGTATTCCTTTGCTTCTCAGAGTCTGAGTTGGTTCATATCACTGATGTAATTTTGTGCGAGACCATAAAGAGACTACAAAACCAAATTGAGGAATGCACAGTGTTTGTTTATGAAGCATTGTTGGATTCTTCTCTTTCTATTCTTGAAGTAACTCTAGTGACTGTTAAGAAAAGTCTAATAAAAACAGTAAACAAGTTACCTATGAAATACATACTGGGTAACCATTTTCAGAACAGTAAATCTCCTGTTCTCATTTTGATTGAGAACAGTATTTGATTTATTTCTGGGGATAATGTCTAACAATTTCTGTATTTAATTTCTGCAGCCGTTCCCAGTCTTCAACACTGAGTAAAGAATGACACTCTATTGTGACGATGACAATGTTTTTATTGTTTTATAAACTAAGATTGTGTAAATAACGGGCATATTGATTATTTGATTTAGTAAAAAAGTTATTGGTAATTTATTTAACCAAATATTTGTTTAGTTTAATTCACAATAGTTTGTGGTTTGGTAAAGACTCAACTTGAAATTAGAGGACTGGGTTGGCGTTGCTGGCACCGCCCTAAGTTGGTTTAGGTCTTACCTTGAAGACAGGAAGTACTTTGTGGAGATTGGAAACTGTGTCTCAGATCATATGGCCCTGACCTGTGGAGTACCACAGGGGTCGATCCTGGGACCTCTTCTGTTCAATCTCTACATGCTGCCGTTAGGTCAGTTAATACGCAGAAACGAAGTGTCCTACCACAACAGACCACACTCAGATCTATGTCTCACTGACTGCAGGAGAACATGGACCAGTGGACTCACTCCTTCACTGTATCCAACAGATCAGTGAGTGGATGCAAAACAACTTCCTTCAGCTAAACGCAGACAAAACTGAAATGATTGTCTTTGGTCCCCAGAAACAAAGAGAGAGCGTCATCTGTCACCTACAGTCTCTCTCCCTAAAACCTTCAAACAAGGTCAGAAATCTAGGGGTAATACTGGACTCAGACTTAAATTTTAATAGCCACATCAAATCAGTAACATCAGCAGCTTTTTACCACCTAAAAAACATTGCCAGGATCAAAAACATAGTGTCTAAAGCAGACTTGGAGATTCTTATCCATGCATTTGTCTCCAGTAGGTTAGACTACTGCAATGGCCTGCTCACAGGTCTGTCCAAACAGGCTGTAAAACAGCTGCAGTACATTCAAAATGCAGCAGCCTGAGTCCTGACTAGAACCAGGAAGTACGACCACATTAGTCCAGTCCTCAGGTCTCTGCACTGGCTTCCTGTGGCTCAGAGAATAGACTTTGAAACAGCTCTGCTTGTGTACAAGTCTCTCCATGGCCTCGCACCAAAATATATTAGTGACATGTTAGTCCCATATGAACCAGCCCGGACTCTGAGGAGCACAGGGACTGGACTCTTGTTAGTGCCCAGAGTCAGAACTAAACATGGGGAGGCTGCTTTTCAGATTCATGCTGCTAAAATCTGGAACAGTCTTCCTGAAGATGTGAGACAGGCCTCCTCAATGACAATGTTTAAAACCAGGTTAAAGACAGTTCTGTTTAGCTGTGCATACAACTGACGGATTTTATATTTTTATCTTTCTTTTTAATGTTCTGTGATTATTTATGATTTTAATGCTTTCTTATTTTGTTCAGCACTTTGAATTGCCTTGTGTATGAATTGTGCTATATAAATAAACTTGCCTTGCCTTAACACTGTTTTACTGCATTATGACCCTCCCCTTTTCTCTTTCTACCCTCACCTCCTCTTACTGTCTTCACTCCCCTCTCTGCATTCAGTTTCGTCTCATCCCCCCTTTCCTTATCCTGATCTTCTGCTACAGCTCCCACTCTGTCTGTGTGCAAAACTCCATCATTTCACCCTTTACAAAATGCTTTTCCATCATCACCTCTTTTTCAACAATTATCTAGCAATTATTTGATCTTTTCAAACATGTTGGCAATGGTGTGTGTGTTGTGAAGTCTCAGCTAAATTGTGCGATTAGTATTCTGATTTGTAGATTGTAAGACAAAAAAATCACAATGTACTGTATATCATAAAGTTGTTTTGGCTCACCTCTTTTATCTGCTCCTTCTTTCTTGTGCCATGTCTTGCCTTTGTCGGATTTATCTGAGCCACCCCTACACCCATAAGAACAGATTTTAATTGAATGGAATACTTTTGCTTATTTTTTTCTTTATTACATAGTGTTTACTTAACTAAGCTACAGTGCTTGTGTGTTGCAGGAGGAGGCGATCTGGCGCCAGGGTAGATGTGAACCCACGGTAATGGCCCGGATGGTGGACACAGGCACACAGACAGATCCCGTGGTTGTGCTGTCCTTGGCCCAGGCTGCTGTCTTAGGTCTCATCTCGCAGAATGAAGTTTTCGGAGCCACTATTGCACCCAATGGCTTTTACACTGGTGAACCTAAAGAATCCCCTGCCCCCACAGTAGACGGAGTGGACTACGAGTACACGGACCAGCTTATTGGAGCTAACGGAGATTATCTCGGAGACAATTTGGGAGAAGACGGTCAGATGCAACCAAGCTGTAGTCAGAGGAGGTGGCAGCAAGGCCCCCCTCAGCACCAGGATGTTAAAATGGTCATCCCGGACCGCCACAGCCTCCCAGTGGGAGACGGGACTCCTATAAAAGGCGAGGTTGTGAGCACTGTAATGCCTTCATGTGTTCACATGCTCAACAATATGGCCCCGAGAGGTGGTTTGATCCAGGTAGACCCAGCTGCTCTGAGAGTTCATAATAAAGACTGTGTAGAGTGTGAGCGGGATGTATCTACACGACAGCAGCAGCCGCAACAACAGCAACAAGTCCCTGTTCACGTGCACCCTCCTCCAGGCCCTGTGAGCCACAGAGGAGCTGAGCCCCCAGCCCACAGAGGACTACAGGCGCCAAGGCCCATGGGAGCTCATGGGCAAGTGGCTGGAGAGGAGGGCGATGGAGTGGAACATCAGCCGAACAACATGATGAAGCCCGCTCAGCAAGAGGAAACTATCAGCAGCTACTTCCAATCCAGTGAAGTGGGCAGCTATGACTCCAATGAAATGGGCATAAGCGGAGAGTATGAGGACAGTGGCCAGAACATGATGTGGACTGATGGGAGTGGAGGGGGGCAGCATCAGCCCCCTCAGCAACCCCAGAACCCACGTCGCCAAGGGGGTCGCAGAGTCGACCGACTCGATATAAATATTCAGATCGACGAGTCTTACTGTGTGGATGTTGGCGATGGACTCAAGCGCTGGAAGTGCCGCATGTGTGACAAATCCTACACATCTAAGTACAATCTGGTCACACACATCCTGGGCCACAGTGGCATAAAGCCACACGCCTGTCCAAACTGTGGGAAGCTCTTTAAGCAGCCCAGTCACCTTCAGACACACCTGCTGACCCACCAGGGCACCAGGCCCCACAAATGTACTGTGTGCAAGAAGGGCTTCACTCAGACTAGCCATCTCAAGCGCCACATGCTCCAGCACACTGACGTTAAGCCCTACAGCTGCCGCTTCTGCCGCCGGGGATTTGCCTACCCCAGTGAGCTAAGAGCTCATGAAGTGAAGCACGAGCGTGGACGATGCCATGTGTGCTCCCAGTGCAGTATGGAGTTCCCCACCTACGCCCACCTCAAACGCCATCAGACCAGCCACCAGGGGCCGCACACCTTCCAGTGCACAGAGTGTAATAAGTCCTTTGCGTACCGCAGCCAGCTCCAGAATCACACCCTGAAGCATCAGAGTCCCAGACCATACAGCTGTTCCCAGTGCGGCTTGGAGTTTGTGCAGCTCAACCATCTACGACAGCACTCGCTCACACATAAGGTACAATCTCTCAGAACTGAGGTCATCTGAATCTGTACATACACCTCAGCCTCATAAGTACAATGTTGAGTTATCGTTTAAGTAGGAGGTAAGACTCATACAATGACAGTTTAAATTCAGACTTGGTACATTTTGTGCATATTCACAGAGGAGCAATAGCTGCTAAGATCAACACAACAACTTTGAGATGCTAAAAGGTGCCAAAGTGGTGGTGAGGCGTGTGCACATGGTGTGCTACTGCGCATGTGCACACGCAAGTCAAGAACGCTAATAACGTAAACACATTTTTTGTCATGAGTAGTTTATTTTTTTCCCTATAATTTACAATGTAGATTTAATCATAATACATAAATAATTAATAATTTTCTTTTAGTTGCTGAATACAAAAGATGTGGAAGATCCCGTCACTGGTTTCACTGGTAGCCATATCAATCAACTTGATACAAAGTGCATTGATTGTGTCTTTTCCATAGATGCAATGGATTGTGCTGTGTTTAAATACTTGCTGTAGCGCTCTTGTCTGTTGGACGTTGCAGGGAATGAAAGGCCACAAGTGCGAGGTGTGTTCGAGGGAGTTCACACTGTCGGCCAACCTGAAGCGGCACATGCTTATCCACAACAGTGTGCGGCCGTTCCAGTGCCACGTCTGCTTCAAGAGCTTCATCCAGAAACAAACACTCAAGACCCATATGATAGTGCACCTGCCCGTGAAGCCTTTCAAATGCAAAGTCAGTATTTCAATATAGATTGTGCATTTGGAAGTTATGGTTTTTTAATATCATTCATTATTATTGTTATTATTTTAGGTATGTGGCAAGTCTTTCAATCGAATGTACAACCTCCTGGGTCACATGCATCTTCATGCGGGCAGTAAACCGTTCAAGTGTCCTTACTGCAGCAGTAAGTTCAACCTGAAGGGCAACCTGAGCCGACACATGAAGGTCAAGCACGGGATGGAGGTGTCTCCGGAAACGCAAGGTAGCATTCACTAACGCACACGGAAAATACACCCTTTTGCAAAAAAATATATTTGATTTTTTTATCTTAATTTATTGAAAACACCAAAAATCCAATATTTAGAGGATCATATGTATATAGTACTAATATTAAAGATATTGAAATATTGGCTTTTGCCCTCAACCTCTTCCCATCAGGCTGATGTCATACCTAATTGTAAAGGTAATTTCATCAGGAAACTACCCACACTGAACCCAAAATGCTATTTGTAATGATGAAAATAAAGCCTTTTTTTCCCTTTGGTCCAATTCTGTTTTAAATCCCAAGCATAACTGTACTTGATCAGATCCACCAACAAATGATAACATCAAAACCCATTATCATTAGCAACAACCCCTGATTATTTGAGATGAATACACCTGGCATACAAAACATAAGAATATTCATTTAAAACATTGGTTCAGGTGCTGGTTCGACCTTTCTGTTTGGAGTTTGCATGTTGTCGCTGTAGGTCCACTTTACAGCAAGAAGGTCCTGGGTTCGATTCCACCTCGAAGACCTTTCTGTGTGGAGTTTTCATGTTCTCCCCATAGGTTTCCTCCAGTGCTCCGCTTTCCCCAACCACTAAAAACATGTACGATAGGTCTGGCATGTGACCCCGCTCCCACCTCTGTGTGGAGTGAGAGGACAAATGCCCACAACGATTGTAAAGGGCTTTGTGACTCTGGTCTGTGAAAAGCGCGACATAATTATAGTTTATACACTTACTAATGTACGTACGAATGTTTAGAAATTCTTAACACTTTGTTTTTGCAGAAGTTCTACCAGAAATGGAAAACCAGGCTGAATATGAAGGACAGAACTTCAACTATACTTCAGCAGACAATATGGACAACAGTGGATCCCAGAACCTCACAAAGCTCACAAATGCAAACATGGAAGATATGGAGGAATATTACAACTTTGGGAAGGACTCAAACACCTACACTTCACCATGAAGGGATTTGGATATATAAGTTTATTTAGGAAACAAAGTGCTGGAGTCCAGATAAACAAAAGACGCAAGACACTATGACCCAGTACAATATATGGACACTGTTTGGACTGCTGTTTTGGCACTTTTCATTGACAGATGTGCAGATTGTCACATACAGTATGTTGAACTACGTTAAAAAGAGCCTGAATTCACTGTTTGGAGGCTTAGTGTTTTTTCTTTAGTCATTAATATACTGTGACCTGTGCAATCAACTAAAAGTGTTGCAGCCTAAACCTTTTGGTAGACTATTTAATCGTCATTTACAATATATACATATATATATATCTCAAGTTTTCTATCATTAATATCAGATTCATCTTCAGACATGGACCCCATACCCTTCTGTACTGATATCATTTTAAAAGGCTGTTGATGTGAAGCTGCGAAGTGCTCGCCCACCTTGCTGTTCCGGAAGTAAAATGTCTCCTTATTTTCCCTTTAGGGATTTTAAAAGGCTGGTCAGGGCTAATCAGATACTGCACATGGTAGATAAACTCAAAATTATCTTTTTTAATGGGCTAAAACCAAGGAAGACTTATTCAAGTTGATTAATTTGAGATTTGATCTAAATTTGACAGCAATGAAGCCTTTAGCTAGAGTAGCTTCTCAATATTTCCAGAGAAAAGATGTTCGTAACTATTGCTGTGTTTGTGTCTTTGAATCGCATCTCTTATTTATACCTTTAAGTTTGTATATGAAGCAGTTCACAATTATTCTGTTACAAAATTGGTTGAACAGAACATGGTGTTTACCAGTAATCCTTCGCTGCCTATAAACCAGGACTGTTCAGCTGTCAACTGTTTCAATGCCCACTCGGGTGTAACCTTAATCTGAACCTTGATAGTGAATTACACATTAAAGAATGTCATAGCAATAGAAATCAGAATACAAAAGAACCTTGTTACGGGGAAAATGAGAATGGGACTTTTACTTCCGTAAACAGAGCAGCTCCATGTGGCCTCATTGTAAAGGGCACTGGCTGCGGAGCCTCCTACTGTCCCACGTCAGTATTTCCAATGCTGTGTTTTCTAATCTACTGGAGAAAATATTCAACTTTTGTATCCATTACAATACAATACAAGGCACTTTTTATATGATGGCTATCATTTCTTTGAAGCATCTCTGGTACGTAAAGAAGAACCTGACTGAATATTAATTCAATTCAATGTAATGACCTCACATTATGCATCTTTTTATGTGAAAAAAGAAAGTTTATGTTTGTGTATTTGACCTTGTCCCAGTGGCTGGTGCCTGACCGCTTCAGCCACTAACCTCCTAAAGACCATCACAGTGGTCTTTAGGAGGCAATAGGATCAATTGTTTGGCGAGTTTTCTCTTCTGAGGGACCACCGCACTAGAAGATAATTGATGCAGCCACAAGTAAAGGCTCCACGCTGCCCACGCTGACCGGTCACTAAGGTCCAATACGCAAACATTTAAACTTTTTTTCACATAAAAAAGCTGCTCAGTGCCCCTGAAGGGTTTAAGTGATCTGATTGCATTCCTGGTCCTCAATGCTCTGATTGACTGTTCTTGCTGGCCTGCCATGCAGGTCAGTGTTATGCACTCTAAACTCATGAATGATTTATTAGTTATTTTATGTTTATTTAAAAATGAGAGCGTGTGGCATTAGACCACGGATTATTTAATAAAAGTTCTCAAAATTGATTTTCTTGTGTTTTGTGCGAATTGTAAGGCTTGTGTTGGCTCGTGCAGAATTGTAATGCACAATTAGGTTTGTTGATTATCGAACACGTTTGACTTTTGAACAGACACTTCCAAAGCATTTTTATAGCAACATCTACTGTATCCAATATGCTGCAGATCCTCTCACGCCCCCTGCTGGTGAAGCAATGGTCAATGGTTTTGAAAACCCGAGACAGTAACTTCATTGCATTTATTATTGATTTATAGTCCATTTCTAATTTACAATATGTAATACATTTAACTTGTATAGGTTAGAGTTCAATTAAATGCAAGACGAAATCAAATTAAAATAATTGCCCCAGTCAAATGAATATGGGTCCAATACAGTTAATACCATGTTTTTTAGTAAGTATAATATAATGACTACAATAGGTTAATTTTTTTCCAGCACTTTGTCCAGGTTGGTCTTGATGGCGTCCAAGAAGTCTGATGTGTTAACATAATGTTCACCCATTTTACAGCTATTTGAAAACATGAGTTAGGATCATAGATTAGTTGAGACTTGTTGAATCAGAAATACTTACTTGGCCAAACCATGAATGCAGCCTGCAAGGTCCTTGGTCATGATGCCCCTTTCAACTGTTTCCACACATACTTTCTCTAATGTTTGGGAAAACCTGTAAAAAGGGCCTTTTCAACATAGTCCTTGTACCATAGATATATATTAAAGCTGGGGTATCTAACTTTCAAACCACTATAAAACAAATTATGTAATAAATCCATGAAATAGTTCCTTGCTGTGATAAGTTTTTTGCCATGCATATTTGGCTTCTGCAGATCAGTTTTTTCAGACAGAAAAATGAAAAAGGGACCACCCTGCTCAGCCAATCAAGAGCGTCACATTGTGAAAAAAACAAGGCCCTTTTCTTGTCAAGTATGCAAAAGAATGTTTGTGGATTGTTTGTTTGCAACATTTTACTTCTGCAAAACTTTTTGTTGGGACAAAATAAAGTTGTGTATCCCAGCTTTAAGTCATTCTACAAATAGAAGTAACAAACTTGATTAAATCAGGATTTCCATCCAGCTTCCCCCTATGCTCCAGGCCTCTGGTCCAAGCAAAAATACTTGCAATTGGGTTTGTGCTTGTGGCTCTTCCCTTATGATTGAATGAAAGTAAAAGCATATATAATTATTCACAAATACAAATACAATACAAATTTCACTCTCTGATATCCATTACCCGCTGGTGTTCCCTGTAGTGTCTGGTGACTGTGCCATGTGCAGCCTCTGCTTCAATAGTTTTGCCATCAGGACGCACTAGCACAGAAGTCATCAGACCCAAAGAGCCAAAACCTGTAAAACCATAACATTTGACAAGTAACCTTGGTTTTTGTGGATTTTGCTTTAAAGGGACAGCACAGAAGATTTCTTAAAGGTTTTTACTGGATAAATGACCGGATATCTTCATACGGCTAAAAACTCAGATTATTAGCTTTCACCACAGCGCCGCATCCGCATTGCCAGATAAGAGTTTTCTTATCTGGCAATGCGGGCTCTTGATAAATTGTATTCTGGATATTGCTTTGCAGGGGATTCTGTGTTTTGCATATTTGAGGCCTGTCCCCTGAGTACGTTTAGTTTAAACTGGTGGACACAGTTGGAATGCGCTCCGCGAGGGTCAGAACATCCTGAGGCAGTGCAGCAGATTCTGCCTCTCGACGCAGTACTGTCAGTGTGACATGGAGGACTCTCCATGAGGACTCTCCATGTGTGATTGACATGGAGAGTCCTCCAGCTCTTTTATCAAATTCTAAGTCTATGCCAATTCCAAAACATGGTTGAGGTAAATTTTCTTTATTGTCTATTGTTTTTTTAAAGTTGGAGTACCTTTAGATCAGTTATCTCACACAAGTTATTCAAATAGCCTTTTCATGTTATAATATAGATTTTTGTCTAAATACAAAAACAATGTACATGTTGGCTACATTAATTCTAGTTTTGATCTCAAGCTGCTTATTTAATGAGAAAGCAGAATAAGCATCACATGAGTTATTTGGGTTGCTAGTTTTGAAAAAGTTGCATATTTGTGCGCTTAGAAAGATAGAGGAGATAAGATAAGCGAGAAACTTAATTCGTTCCGGAGAGTAGTATGAACTTACAAGGAGCGCACAAGGGGCACCCAAAGTATGCATCAATTCTTCAAAAATAGCCGCAACGAAAGCATTGAAAGACAATGCAACAAAGGTTTCAATTAAGAATAAGAGCAAACGACATTCTGTTCCTTTTAAGCAGCACTAACCTTGAGCCAGGATATCTGACTGAACATCTCCATCGTAGTTTTTACAGGCCCACACAAAGCCCCCAGACGATTTGAGAACCTGCGCCACCATGTCATCAATCAGGCGGTGTTCATACCAAATATTCAGCTTGTCAAATGTTTCTTTATAAAATCTGAGGGGAATACAACATTATTTGGGTACAGCATTCATTATATTTTGTATGTACAAGTCATCCACACAAATGTTTGGGTTACTGGTGCTTGATAAGTTTTACTTTTCAAAGATTTCTTCAAAAATATCCTTGAAACGTCCGTCATAGGCTTTGAGGATGGTGTTTTTGGTGCTCATGTATAGAGGCCATCTTTTTTGGATGGAGTACTGGAAGCAGCTGTGAGCAAACCCACTGATGGACTAGAAAGAAATATCCATGATACTGATGTAATATTTATAACACATTTTGTATGTTTGATGTTTTTCTTACATCGTCTGTGTTGTACATTCCCATTCCACAGCCACCAGATGAAAAGTTAAAAACGTCCCATTCCTTGGGTTGGCTTCCATCCGCAGGAGAGAAAACAATCTTGAACTTTCCTGGCTCATCAACCACAAAGTCTTTGGCCCTGTACTAAAAATAATGTCAAAATGCAATCATTACTGAGACTTTTGATGCAAGTCGGACTTACTTGGTCGCCAAATGCATGTCTGCCAATTATTATGGGCTGAATCCAACCAGGAACAAGACGGGGGATGTTTTTACAAAGTATTGGTTCACGAAACACAGTTCCTCCCAAAATATTTCTGATGGTGCCATTCGGACTCTTCCACATCTTCTTCAGTCTAAACTCTAATAATTCCAACAAAATTATTCCGCTGAAAATTCAAATAAGTATGAAGTAAATGACATAAATGAGCCGGCAAACACACCCTCTACTCGATCTTCATCTGGGGTAATGGTGGCACACTTCACTGCCACATTGTATTTGAGAGTGGCCAGAGCAGACTCCACAGTGACCTGGTCATTGGTCTGGTCTCTGTACGGCAGGCCCAAGTCAAAGTACAGGAGCTCCACATCCACATGGGGAAGGATCAGCTGGTGGAGCACAAAAGGGATTGACATTATGTAATAAGAGGGAAGTTATTATTTATAATATATTGAGATGTTGAGCATCGGTCAATGCTAGTGTAGCCTAAATCGTGTAGGCCTAGAACTTCAGGAAGGTTGAATGACTTAAAGTAATTGTACACTTTGAACAATGCCCATGTACACATCAGGTGAGCACTTAGTGTCAGGTGGGTATAGTTTGGTTCAATATGGGAGACATCTGCTACATCTACATTCAACAGCTTGTTTGGAAAAATTATGATCACCTTGTCTTTTATATATTCCCAAATTATTCGGGTCATCTCGTCTCCATCCATCTCCACAACTGGGTTGTCCACTTTGATGCGTTTATTTGTCGCATCTGACATGTTTGTAAACACATAACGAAAGATCAACTTTTATTATCAATGACAGCTTCATTTAAGTTACGTTTATTCTTGTGTAGTCATAAATCACAACAGTAGTTATCATGGAGGATTTAACAAAACCATAAAATTAGCCAACACAGATCAGAGAGTCAAACAATTGCAAATGAAATGATGGAAGAACACATTGGTGCATATGGGGCAGATGACCAATGTCCATAAATATTGTTGAATGTCGAGTGTCCTGGATCATCACCACTTGCCAACCCTCCTGCATTGGCATGGAAGAACTCTAATAAATAAATAAACAGTGGGGAAAAGTGAGAACCCACTTTGAGGGAGGGATCTGCTCCCACTGATGGACGACTCCAGAACTACTTCCTCGCTCTCAAAACAGTTTGGTTCGATTATGCAAGCATTAACAGGCCTTAGTCTTTTTCAGACAGAAAATGTGAAGAAAAAAAGGCCAACTCTCACAGCCAATCATCTGTAAGCCACAAAGTCAAATAGTGAATCACAGAACTTGTGACTATCTATGACCTGAAGTATGCAAAAATACATTTACAGTATGTTGTGGTCCAATTTCTTCACAACATTGTACCTTTACAAGACTATTGGGACAAACAAAATTCATTGTTTATGGGTAGATAGGTTCCCCAGGCTTTTAGCACGCAAAGTAGTCTACGTCTACTTTGTCGACCAACTACAAAGTGGTTTTATATCATGAGGCTAGAATAATGTATCCACGTTGTAACTGGTACTTACAGTTTTGTCTTTGATAAGAGCCGGCAGCAGGTCCCAAACCTCCGCTGGGAGACAGGCCTGCGCTCACGGTGCGTGTGACGTGGAACAGCGCACTGAGAGAACGGGACATTTTCTCACGCAGTTTGAATCACGACCCTTTACGAAAGAATGAAGATGGCACATAGACTAAAAAGCACTGACATGACTGTTCAGTGTCACACGTCAGCACATTTGAGCAGGGCATGATTGGGCAAAGGACATGCTCTGTGCCAATCGGGGACACAGCAGTGACCGGTGCATTTGCGTGGGTTCAAACCAGGTTTAAGTTCAAATGCCCATGGACTCATTCCATAAATGCGTGGTTAACAAAATAAATGCAATTAATATCCAAAACCCCAGCTATTGATCCCGCGCGAACCAGTTAGTTCCAAGTAAATTAGAAAAGGGGTTTTTATTTGAAACAACTTAGGTTTGACAGACAAAATATGACAAAAAATAGGGATTCACAGTAGAATCTCAGCAAAGATATTGGGCTCACAAAATAAATCAAGACAAATAAATAAATACAATTATCGAAATGTAAGAGAACCACAATACTATTCCATAACAAACCCCCATTAAGTTTCATAACTATACCCATCCACATTCAAGAACACATTATAGAAGTATAAACAAACATTCAGTCACCAGCCAACTGTAAACATTTGGCTTCAAATGTAGGTCAAAGGGTTGGGGTTTACAGTGTGGCCTGTATCATTGGCATCAGTGACATTTAAACACATTCAATTGAAATATAGGCTAGCTAAAGGTGCTGTTACACATCTGTTGTTTTTTCATCCACCATAGGGATGCTTTAATTGAAATTGTTGACAACAAATCTTTTTTTTTAAATGTTGTTTTAATGTAAACTATATTATCCTGTGGAACAAGCAGCAATTTCTAAGTGCATGTTGTTTGTTCTTATTACCACTGTCCACAAGGCTCAAAGTGAAATCTTTACAAGGCGTCATATTTGCTTCTGAGATTGAGCTCAAAAATAAGGATTCACAAGGAAAATAAGGAACAACAAAATCTCAATAGGCCTATACCTTTTTATTCATAGAGTACTAGTTTTGAAGCTGATAAAGTGAGGTTCACTTTATGAGCTGACTGCCACAGAGCCTTTCTTTTCACTAAAGAAACTCTTTAGCATCACGACTTGTCCGATGCTAATTACAAACAAAAGGACAGTTTCACCAATGGACCAATACGTGACACGTTCAAGAAGGTGCTCTGCCTTCATTCGATCGTGAGCCTCCCGAAGTCTGGCCCAAGTCTGGGACTCAGCCACCCCCTTCAGGACAGCATGGATGGTCACACAGCTCGATTCCAGCTAAAAAAAAAAAAAACAATAGTAGGTCAGCAATAGGTCCTTTCTCAGATGAACACAAAGACATCACATTATTGTGTTGTCTTTGTTCTGAGGTTGAAGGTAAACAACCAGGTCATCAGATATAATGCCTGGAGAGAAACACTTCTGGCATCCACATGCACACACACACACACACCTCATGGAAATGTGGGTAAAGTGTCTAGCCTTAGGGCACAACAACATTGCTTTGCACAACACAGCCACTCCACTGCCTTGCCTCGGAGATCTGACGAGGCTTTCACAATACACAATTTAATTCATTCATTTTGCTTGTTCTTTTTAGATCTATCACATGCATCTACAATTTTTATAATCCAGAATATTGATGCATCAGTGTCTTACCTGGGTGAGTGCTGTATTTTGTAACATGTCTGGGAACAGGGACTGCTCTTCACCACCATGGCGAAAATCTAGATAGATTATTTTATGTGTAAACGAGGAGAACTCATTGCTGAAACACACTTTGTAGACTCCTTTCAGAGCCGTTGTGTTGGAAATGCTGTCATATTGTCTTTTCTTCGCATCGTAGATCAGATTGTTTTGTGGGTCAGTGGCAAAACAATCCACATCATAATTTCCCCCTGCAATAACCTGAAAGTACACAACGAGTCACAATTACAACATTACCATATAGTAAATAGTTAAGAGTAAAAAAATCCTGAAAGTTTAGCGCATTGGATAAAAAAGGGGAAGTATTTGCAACCAGTTAGCTACACTTGCCTGGGCTATTCAACACTATACAAGATGGATATAGCATTTTGGCAAATTTAGCTCTATGTCAAAACAATAACAGCTGTTGAACTTACTTGGTAGTCAATTTCCAACTTAGCGCCAATCTCAAACTCCTCGTAAAAACACTGCTTTTTGTTATCCGGAAGTTCAAACGTCAGCTCAGTCCCAAAAACAAAAAGAACATGCAAAAGAACAAACAAAGTACCCAGTCGCAAAGAAAACATCGTGAAGAGCAGAGGGCAGCGGCTCAGAGCGGCACAGCGGCTTCAGAGAGGTTCCCTTCTGTGCGTCTGGTGCGTGTGGCGCGCGTATGGAGCCATGGATGAGGGCTTGTGGCTCTGCTCTGACGTGGCAAGAAGGCAGGCAACTTCCGGTGCAACTTTGGACAGGCCTCTGGGGGTCTGGCTCTTGGATCTGGTGGAGGTGGGAGACTCGACTTCATCTCCCCTATGAGTCCTGTGTCGTTCCCTGTGGCTCTCTCATCCTATTGCGGACGGCTCCCCAGATGGTGCTACCTCAGCAAAATGATTCTGATTCTGGATTGATGGGTCAATGGGCATGGATTGGATGGATTGTTCTAATTTAAGTTTCTTGGAGTGTTGTTCACAAGTGAAGAAAGGATGGAGTATGTATAGTGATGTTGTGGTGAAGAGGGAGCAGTGTCTGCAGTCAGAGCTGTATCAGACTATTGTGTGGAAGAGGAAACAGCGTCTGCAGTCAGAGCTGTGTCAGACTGTGGTGAATAGGGAGCAGCGTCTGCAGTCAGAGCTGTGTTATTGTGGTAAAGAGGGAGCGGAAAGGGAAAGCTCTCAATTTACCAATCTATGTTCCCACCCTCACGGTCATGAGCTTTGTAGTGAGGTAATGAACAAGATTGTGGATGTCCAGCGGTACAGGATTCCTCCGCGGAGTGGCTGAGCTCTCCCTCAGAGAAATCGGGCGATTAGCTCAATCACATGGGAGGAGCTCGGAGTACAAGAGAAGCGAGTTGAGGTGGCTTGGGCATTTGTTTCATCCCAAAATATTTGATGTCATGCTCTAAATCAGTGTTCCTCAACCTGCCATGGCACAGCTTTTTCAATGAAAACAATGAGATGGCACACCACCAAGTCAAACTGATAACAATTAAAGGTATATGGGAAGATTTTCTATTTTTGAGTTGATCATCTAAACTATTCCTAATTGTCAATCATTCTGGTGATAATGGGAGACACGTTCTAATAGGTGTTCCCTCTGAGGAGGGCGGTTCTTCGTGAAAATCCTCCTATAAACCTTTAAATTGCAGTCTTGTTGAACAAGCATAATATAAAGAAAATGTGCAAAAAAAAGTCTCTCTAATCTGCACATTATTAATATGATTATTATTATTATTATGAATAACTCAACCAGTACATTTTATTTAAAAAAATCTAAATTTTATTTGCCATTTGCAAATAAAATTGTTTTATTAACACTGCTCTTAATAAGAGGACCACATAATTTTATTCTTCCACATGTTTTGGAGTTTATTCGTTTTATGTATATTTTATCCATTTGCAACTTTATGTTATAACCGTACGGGGACATCGGTGTAGTAAGGGGTTAAACGTATGCGGTCACTTCCGGTAAGACGCTGGACACGCCCCCTAGGTACAGAAGTTACTAGAGCTGTTATCTATTATGTATCAAACTCGATTTTTGCAGTGTGTCAAGCCGTGTTGATTTATATTTTAGCAGATAATTTTTTTACAGACTTAAGCAGCCGCAGCGACGATGACGAACTATACGGAGGCAATGAAGGACTTTGTGGAAAGTCATGTCCCTGGTCTCACTGTTGTTTTTATCGCAGGTAAAGGAAACTCCTTTCTCTTCTAACGCCGGTTTCCTACTTCACAGAATTATGAGCTGTCTTGAATACTAGTACACAGGTCACAGATTCAGTCTACTCGTTGTTAAAATGAAGATAGTCCTGGTGAGAGGCAAGGTTTTGGGCCTGTCTCAAATGCCAGCCGAGCCATGTTCGTTTGTTTTGTTTTACGAGTAAACTTACTTTAGAAGATGGGCATATTCTTCACCCTGGCAGGACTGGGAATGAGCTTTTTACAGTGACGCAGGATATTCTGAATACTTTGAATACTACATTTCTGTGTATTCGCTTAATACTATAATATAAAAATCTATAATACGATTAATACTACTTTGAAAACATTGTTAATTAGAAAAGGGTTGTACATTCGCACGCACCATTAAAATCATATCAGTAGGTTTTGTGTCCTTTTGAAGCCTACATTGTCATGATCATACTCTCCCATCACGTACTGAAAAAGTAACTGAACAAGTAACTGAATACCTGAATGCAATTACTCATATCACGTTTCCTGAATACTCCCTCTCAATTAAATTCAATTCAATTTATTCTTGTGTAGCCCTAAATCACAACTCTTATTTTCTCGGAGGACTTCACGCAACCGTTGAATTCGCCAACACAGATCAGAGAATTAAACAATTCAAACACAAGAAATGAAATGCGTTACAAGGGTATTGGTCCGTAAGGGGCAGATGACCAACTCTCTGTAACCACTGCTGATGGACTTCATAATGATAACATATAATAAATAATTTGATAATAATGTTGTGTGAAACCTCTTCTGCTTTTGTGCTTTTTCCTCAGGGGCAGGCCTCGTGGCCTTCCGCAGGTGGATGGCTGGGGCAGCCTGTCACAGCAAGGTCAGGCTGGATGGAAAAACAGTCCTAGTAACGGGTGCAAACACTGGCATTGGGAAAGAAACAGCCCTGGACATGGCCAAACGAGGTAAGCATAATTAAGGTAGTAAATAAATAAAACACTTCGTAAATTAAATGTTTTATTGAGTTCAGCCTACATTATGTGTATAATTTTACCATTTGACAGGGGCCAGAGTGATCATGGCCTGCAGGGATATGACCAGAGCACAGATTGCTGCTGATATGATCCGCCAGAAGAGTGGAAATGGCAATGTGGTGGTGAAGAAGTTAGATTTGGGTTCTTTGCAGTCAGTGAGGGAACTGGCCAAGGATATCGAGGCAAATGAGACACGCTTAGACATCCTCATCAACAATGCAGGTGTTTTTCTGTTCTTGAACCACTTTACCCTATTTGTGAATGAGTTTTAATTAAGTTTTACTTGAAAGGTATCATGATGTGTCCCAAATGGGCAACAGAAGATGGTTTTGAAATGCAGTTTGGTGTGAACCATTTAGGACACTTCCTTTTGACTAATTGTCTTCTTGACCTGTTGAAGAAATCTGCTCCTAGTCGTATTGTAATTGTGTCTAGCCTCGCACATGAGAAGGGTAAAGGTTTTTTTCCATAATAATTCCCTGTATGTTTAATATGATACACAACAATGGAACCGATGCTGTTCTTTTAAATTCAGGAGAGATACATTTTGATGACATCAACCTGGATAAGGATTACAGACGTGAGAAGAGTTACCGTCAAAGCAAACTGGCTAATGTGCTGTTCGGTAAAGAACTTGCTGCACGACTGCAAGGTAAAGATTTTTCATGTTATATTAAGCATATTTTACAATTGTGTATATTAAAAAAACTGCCCATAGGATCCGGTGTGACTGTGTACAGCCTGCATCCGGGGGTCATTCGCACAGAGTTGGGTCGTCACCTGTTTCCTACTATAGCTTTGTGGAAAAGGATCATAGCTCTGCCACTGATGATGCTCATCAAGACCCCCTGGGAAGGAGCACAGACCACCATCTATTGTGCTGTCGACGAGAGCATTGCCAACGAGAGCGGCTTCTACTACAGGCGAGTACTTCACAGATTTAAACCATAAACATGTGTTGGTTTGTTTAGTGCTGACTTATTGTTCTTGTACAGTGACTGTGCCCGCAAGACACCTGCCCCTCAAGCCCAAGATGATGCTTCAGCAAAGAGGCTGTGGGACCTCAGTGCGTCCATGGTCAGCCTTGGATAAACTCCACTATGTTGCTTGAGGACTGGTATTGGCTTTGTTTAATCATAAAACATTGTTATAATAGATAATGCTGCATCATACAATATTATGCGTTACTGCGTTACATTCTATATGTTTGCTGTGTTTAATATATATTATCTAACAATATTTGAAAAGTAAAATACTTTTCAGCCCATTTGACACTCACAAAAATGAATGACAAATCATATTTGCACTGAGAAACCCTAAAGTGTTGACTTTATTGAGAAGTGGTGGCAGACAAAGTGTTGCACAGCCTAATTTTAAATGGCTTTTACTTTTCATTGATGGATTAACTGTTTACCCAATTTGTGGGACTGCAAAGAAGACATAACCATATTGCAATACAATTTATTGTTTTGAGTTTCACTTCAATAATAATGAAAACAAGAAATAAACAATTGTTTATTAAACTATTTGCACAGTACAAGTGGATTTTTAAAAACCGTTTGAGATATTACTCATGTCGGATCATGTTTAGAGTGCCTGAGTTCACGGTTGCTACATAACAGAATCAGATTTTATGAAAACCTTGGACCATCACTCATTTTCTCTTCAACCGCTTTGTGGAGCATTTTTGTACAGTTTCTGTATTCACATTACTATCTATGAAATATACTGTTTTCCTTGCACTAATTAACACTTACATTATGAACAATAAGAAATGGCCAACCTGGAACAAAAGTAATGGACATGCAACTCTGTAATATGTATGTCATTTTTTATGGATTCTAGTTATACCTTGTTTACGCAGAACAAACGTTGGCAAAAAGTCCTTCCATGTTCGATTCCTTAGATTCACGACTGGAGATGTCAGCTGAAGGTAATGTCATGCACATGCCCTTATCAGTTCTCCGTCCAACGGATAGAGATGCTATAGCTGGGCTGGAAAAGTGATAAGGACACGTGTGTGACTGTGGCGGGTTTAACGCCTTCTGATATTGTCCAAAATTAAATCTGGAAGTTCTCAAAAGTTTGCAATCTTCAGGATGCCATCCGAGGACCGCCTGAAGCTGTTTCTTCTTTCTGTGAAATCCATTCTTCAAAATTTGGTCTTGACTGTGTTGAACAGCAGGATGATCCTCTCCAATCCATATGCAGATAAGGTTTGGCGTGTCCCGCTCTCATCTCCTTTACTGTCGTCCCACAGACAAAGTTTAGAGACACACCCCATTGATGAGTTTTATTTGACTGTAGCCCCGCCTGCCGGGTACCTTTTACTTGACTGCTATTGGTTGGTAGTGAACACTTGCCATACCTGCCCCCTGGCTTGTGTGGAAATCAGCTAAAAAGCATTTCCATCTGTCAATCGAGCGGCTCAACCAATAAGAAGTGAGGGGGCGTGTGCAGTTCAGGTGTGGCTGTGAAGCACATTCCAATAAGTACATACCTGACAGCTGCTCTGGTATTTAGCTTCTGGAAAGTGAGACTTGTAGGCCACTGTCTTTCCTTTATCTGAGGCCTAAGCACAAGGGTTCTTTCTATTGGACAAATTAAACAATTTGGGCCCAAAATGTTTCCATTTTTGGCCATCATATATTTTCTGCTGGTGTTATTTGTTCAAATGCTTTGCATTTATATTGGATTAGATGTTTAGTTATGAAAGTCTTTTCATTGTGCCTCAGAGGCAGTTTGGAATGAGACATTTGGATGTATGACCCTGTTCATGGAAAATGACCCTTTACTCTTCGAAGGAATCAGGGCTGTATGTCATTACTCAGTAATATGTGCAGTCAGTTGGTGTACAGGTGCAGGCCTTGGCATGTGCTTTGCCCCCAGCAGAGAACATCCACTCATCTGCTTCTGCTTTGCCCCTCAGAGATCATAAACTCCAGTGCGAGTCAGGTGCAGAGCGGAGTTGTCTGGTATGCAGTCATTCTTTTATTGTTCCTCTCATTCGGCTGTTCTCAAGTCCCCTTCCTTAAGTCTTCTTATAGTGATTTCTGCTGTATACAGAGTGCAACAGTATAGTGTGTGTGCCTGGAGCAGGTTTGGGAATGCTGGTTTACAGCATTTTCTGCCCGAAACCAACTGCTCAGTGATTAGTTGCTGACGAGCCTGTGCATGTGTGAAGCTGAACCCATGCAGTAGCATTGACTGTTGATGTCGTTATAGCCATGCTTTTCAAATCGCTAAAATATCTTGGATATAAACTCATTTGTAAGTTTAAACTTCAATTTGATTTAATTTAAAACTTTTCAGAGCATGAAGGAATGTTTTGCACAGCAGAGGCAGAGTCGCTGTTACAATGAAAGCTGCATATACTGTACCTTGGATATTTATAGGAAATCTTGTGAAAACTATTGAGTTTTATTGACCATAAAGAAAAGCACAAGTTGTGTGCTCCCAAGGTCTCTTAAATATATTTATTTCCTAATATTACATTATTTTTTCCCCAGCAGTTGAACTGTCTCAGTTTGAATTAGCTGTTGCATCAAGTGGATTCTTTCATCATTTTGACATGTATTGTGTTCATCACTCGTGACAGCAGATCACCGCTACATTCGCCTGCGTGAACAGTACTAGAAACATCACAGTAACATCTCAGTTTGACTTCCTGTCTAATGATTTTTCAGCGCTTATGGGAAGATTGTTCTGGGGGTTGGTCGAGGTGCACTGTAGATGAGGATTCCAGGGCCGCATTTAGCAGGGGGCTGTGGAGACTGTTGGGCCCCCAGGCAGGATTCTGTCACCAGGCATAAACACACTGTCGAGTGAACACAAAGACAACAAGTGCTGAGTCAGCTGTCTACCTGGCTTAACGTACGCTGGGCTGCATCGGCTCCTCCACACAGGCCTAGCTCAAGTCACTATACTGTGCTGAACTGGACATCTACTATTAACAACAAAACGTGATCTTTAAGGCGATGTTTAAACTAAGCACTATTGTAAAAGCTATTTTCGCGCTTAATCATCTGTCCATGCTAAATAAGAGAACCAGTGCATATGGGTAAACTGCTTGGTTTTTTAATTTGTTTTCATTTAAATACTTCAGTTGACCAATGGGCACTATTCTACGCATCATTTTAATACATTTTGTAGAAAACCTTCATTTGTGAGATATCATATTTGTACAACACTGCTGTCTTCCACATGGTTGGACATATTTACGTGATGCTTCCTGATCTCTGTGCATACCACTGCAGGAGGAAGAGCTGCAGCCATCTTTGCTGCTATTGTCTGTGATTATTTAGCTGAGATCCTCTCATGAGTGTGAAAGTCTGGTGCAAAGCAAACAGCCGTTGGGCCTCTTGATCCAGTTCCGGAGCTTGTGAGAACGTCACATGCCAGGCCCACTCATGTGTACCAGGGGACTTTTGCTAAAACATCTTCTGATCCCAACACGGATTAGGTTCACACATTCCTCTGACCTCTGGATCCCACCAAAATGTCCATGGAAAGTCTCATTAGCCCTGGAATATTGCCATTCAGTGCACGCATTTGTCAATAAGTGTGTTATACCAGACACAAATATAAATCCAGTCTATTTCTCGATTGCACTGGAGTCAAGTGATAAAGTCATTTGCATTATGATTCATCATTGAATTGAGCTCAGGACAGAATAATGAACATGCACCATGAACAGTGCACAAACAAAAGCTCTTGAGGGACCAACCTCTTCATAGATCAGCACATATATCTTTTTTCCCCTCGACTCTTTGACAATACTTTTTTGTGGGCATCTTATTCATGATTATTCAGGTGATTATTCACTTTCCCCAAAAGAGTCCCTTTTTGATTCCATAAACATACATTTGAAAGTATAACTTCCCAAATTGGTTATTTTAAGTAATGTTACATTTAGATATTCCCCATTTCTTCCTTTAGTTCAGACGATTTGTTATATGCCTTTATATAAACATTATTTTTAATTATTAAATTACTTCCCATGCTTGAGACGCGAGGTGTAATATATTTCAAACTCTTTATTCAGAGCTTTGTGGAGTTCTACAAATTTTAGGTCACACCCATCTTTCATCTTGCTTCTACTAGATTATGGTTAATTAATGAATAGATGTTCCTGTGTCAATGTTTTAACTCAGATGTGGCTCTTTGGATGATTGTGTCTGTTTCTCAAACAAATCTGTGGAAGCATTTTTGGTACGAATGTTTTATATATTAGATTTCTTCAGTATAAAAATACCAAATAATACATTACAAGACTCATATTACACTCCAAATGTGTATGGCTGCCACAGAAATACATTTTAAAGTATGAGACTTTTTGGCTCTGCCTATGGTTTTAATGAATGCTGCCTGCGCGATTCAGACACGCAGCCCTGGGCTGGAGAATATGTTGAATCCACAGTCTGTGAAAGAATTTGCAAGACGCGTCTTCATTTCTGACGGCAGCACAGACAATGTGTGTCTGTGTGTCTGACCATCTTTAATGTGTGTCTGACCATCTTTAATGTCTGACCATCTTGACGCTGCGCAGAGTCCGGCACCACTGCGGTGGTTGTTGCGCCGTGTCGCTCCCACTGCTGCTCACTGGACGATAAAACGCGATCATGGCGAGCTGCCAGCACGCATCAGGACCGGCCACATGAGATGCCAAGCCAAGTGAACTGAGATCCACCACAGGCGCCACTGCCTGTCTGTGGTCAGCAGAGGGCGTACTTTGATGATCTCTAATACACTGCAGAGAGCTTAATTATATCTTCATATCATCTTAAACATTACGAGGGCACAAAGTAAGTTTGACTTAACAAGCGTGTGAATAATACATTCTGGAATAGTCAGCATATTATTTGACGTTACCTGATACATACAGTCCCGATCCCACATGAAAAATAGAGCTTCAATATGCAACAAGAAGAAATTAAATTCAGATAGACATGTTTGGGCAATAATCTCATATAAAAAAGCAATTACACTCTCAACATAAATCACAGTTAGAAAGATTAACTCTGTAATGAGCAGCTTATTGTTGATCACTCCAAAAATGCATTGTAGCTTGTGCAAATGTTTCCAGGAGGTGAGTGGGAGCATCTCTCCAAGTGGTGAAATGCAGCCTCATAAAAAGGCATTTACTGTCTGGAACAGTTTTTGTAAACTTTCCTTGCAACAGATGAAGGCCTCCGTCATGAGGAATGCTCTCGAAAACATCTGGACACAACCAGCTCCTCCTGAAGCTTCATTGTTCCACTGATGAAAGGGCACCTCAGATCATTAGGCTAACCCCTTCACTGTGGCGTGAAGAAAACCTCTGATCAGATCTTTTTGTTTCAACAACATTGGAAAGTGAGCGACTGTCTTACCTCCCAAGAGATGGTGCGCTGCAAGAGCCCTGCTTAAAACAGAATTTGACACTGAATCCTTTTTGCTCAGCTTTGGCTTTTAAAGGAATTTGGTTCTACATTTTGATTAGCTGTAATACAACCTGTTTCTGGTTGTCTTTTTCAATATATTTTGTCCTACTTAGAACTATGGGTCGATTGTGAATTGGGTGCAGCTCTGATTGCCATCCCTTAACCCAGAAATGTATTGAGGGGAAGAAAATGGATGGATGGAACTATAGGGGTCGATTGACTATTTGCTTCAATCGAGAAACCAAGATTTCCGATATTGTTCCAGGGATCCGCCTTAACCACTCCTCCTGCTTCGGGGTCACGGGCACTACTGTCCCCTTTACCCTCCAGGCCCTCTCCAGCTTCTCTCTCTCTCTCTCTCTCTCTCTCTCTCTCTCTCTCTCTCTCTCTCTCTCTCTCTCTCTCTCTCTCTCTCTCTCTCTCTCTCTCTCTCTCTCTCTCTCTCTCTCTCTCTCTCTCTCTCTCTCTCTCTCTCTCTCTCTCTCTCTCTCTCTCTCTCTCTCTCTCTCTCTCTCTCTCCAGTACAGACCATTCACCTTCTCATTAGAGTTTTTTTGTTTTCATGATTATGCAAATTATAGATTTACACTGAAGGCATCAAAACTATGAATTAACTCATGTGGAATTATGTACATACAAAAAAAAGTATGAAACAACTGAAAATATGTCTTATATTTTAGGTTATACAATGTACAGTAGCACCTTTTGCTCTGATTACTGCTTTTCACACTCATGGCATTCTCTTGATGAGCTTCAAGAGGTAGTGACCTGAAAATGGTCTTCCAACAGTCTTGAAGGAGTTCCCAGAGATGCTTAGCACCTGTTGGCCCTCTCGCGTTCACTCTGTGATCCAGCTCACCCCAAAACCATCTGGATTTGATTCAGGTCCGGTGACTGTGGAGGCCAGGTCATCTGGCCCAGCACCCACCACTCTCCTTATTGGTCAAATAGCTCTTACACAGCCAGTCTGTATATATACTGTATATATATATATATAAACTGTACTAAAATACCAGGACATCTCATTTGGATAATATGCCTAAATCAAATACAAGTCAGAATCTGTTTGCTGAGAGATCCATGAAATATTGCTATTACATAACATCCAGGATACAGTGGAAGCTTTTTTTTGTCAGGAGTTGAAGTTTGTATTATTAACATTTTTGGCACCAATTGTTTTCATTTGTACTGCAAATTTAGAAAATATTGCCCATATTTTCCTATAGGTGAAAAACGTTATACCAATAGGGGTTAGGGGATGTGTTTGTAGGCAGGATTGCACAAAAGTAGATGGGTTTGATGGTAGGAAGAACCCATTCAAATGTTTAGATGACCCATGGTGTTGGTGGAGTAGGCGGTCTATAAATGCTGGCTGACTTCGAGTTAAATTAGAAATGTGGTTTGCATGAACTGTTTTTGTACACAGTTGTAGTCATATCATATTTTGATGACTACAATTGTTGTTCACATGGAGATAATACAGAAAACATGATAATCCTCTAAGTCAGAACATCTCGCCTTGAGTATGTAGTGACAGTGCGCCTGTGCCGCGGTGTCACTATGATTTTGCTCATGTTGTGGACTGCAGGCAGCGTGTGCCAGTTCTTCTGCAGTTTTGAAACAAGCAGGGCATACACAGAGTTGATTACTCCTCCTCCTCTCTCGCACCCACCTCAGGGCATGGAAAAGGCAATCGAGGAGAGACAGTGCCACAAATAGGCCCTCTAAATATGGAGGGCTTCAGTCAAGAAAACAAGCATGATCGAATTTTGAGCCTCTTCAACCCAATTTAATAAAGAGAACAACTGGATACACGGCTCACTCTCAAATGTTATTTATGTCTCTCCTTTAGGCCTTTTTGGCCATATGCTTTACACACATTAAAATCTGTATGTGTTGTCATGAACCCTCCATTAGTCAGCATCACACATGTGCATGTGTGTGGGGATATTGTCTGTAGATTCACTTGTTTGTCCGTGCTACTCAGCCCGAAGAAGAAGTGTAACTGTTGTTGCCCAAACTGCTGCAGTGTTTCCTTTTGACCTTCAGCAACATATGTAGTGGTCCATTCAAAGACGCACTTTTTTGCTGATCATTAGACTTTCATACATTCTCCTCACCTTTAGGCCGGTGTTGTATTAGCATGCATTAACATATAACTTTGGGAGAGCCAGAGGAAACAGGAGGGAGCACAACAGCAGCTGTGATGCAACAGAGATGATGCTTTGACACAACTGACTGCAGATATCTGGTACAAGATCAGTTTCTCCAAAAACATTTAGCTGCTACTTCTGTACACCATAAAGATCTGACATTGATGCATATTGAGTTTAGAGATTAGCCCTTAAAGTTCAATACCACATATACACAGCAATAATCTCCACTGAGAACTTATAAACATATTATATTGTATAATATCATAACAACATTATCCTTGCTACACCTTGCTGCACACAATCATACATCCATTTTAATCATCAAAACTATGACTGTTTCAAATATTGTCAGTATAAAGGCTGCTTTCTTCTAAACAAGCATTATAATTTTGCGAAATTTACACAAAAACATTGTGGTCATATAAGAAGTGTTGTTATTGATATAAAACATTTGTGTTGCATGCTTTCTTCCTACTGTGTCTGAACTGTGCGTTGCAACCGCTGTAGGTTTAACAAAGATGCTCTTATCGGATCAAATGATTGGGTAAATTCGTTTTTAAAAATGACCTCTGATTCATTTCACGTGAACAATAGTGTCATACTATTACAAACAATAACATTAAATCATTCACGTTGATGATGAGTGTTATACAGGAAAGCTACGAAGACAAATCATCTCAAATAATAGTTAATAAAATTGAAAAGGATTTTTGTGGACAACAGCAGTGAGGAGAATAACTTCCTGATTACTGCTCTAAAGATGATGTATTTACTGACCAAAACTCAAGTTGTGTTGTTTTATTTATGTCTTTTATCTGGCTCAAAGTGTTTTTTAGAAAATGTGACAAATATGGGCTGATTCTCTTGCATGGGATCACTACAGTGTGGTTTGTGCTTGTGCTCCGGTGCAGCAGGTGGTGACCCTGCATGTCGTACCTGGCACACAGCAGAGCGCAGAGCTGCAGCCAAATCAGTCTGAGAACAGCCCACACTCCAGCACAACAGAGCAAAAGGGGTTACGGAATACACAGAAAGTATATTTAGATATTACAATGATACGATTCATACATGATACTATTTATGAACAGGTTGTTGTGTGACTTTGCATCATGTGATCTTTTTAACAATCTTTTTAACAATATTCCAGTTCCATTTCACGATTTAACAAAGATGCCAGTGGAATTGGCACGTCTATGCAGAAAAAAGCCAACGTCTAAACTTCAGAGTGCCTCGGATCTAATGCTTCACCCCTCACAGGTAATACTATGGTGTGTGCTTAGCTCCTTTTGACCCAATCCTCGAACAGCTGGAAGTGATTTTTTTCATTTGAAAGGAAAAAGTAATCATTATTAAAAACTTCTGGGCTAATCAGCGTCTGAGTGAGTAATGGCCCCAAGATCAAGATCAATACACAATATGTTTATCAAACATTGAAAACAGCAAAGTTTAGCAAAATGGTGCTAATAGTGACCACGTGGTAGTTAGCCTTTGTCATGTCTTCAAACCATTGAAAACTACAATGGGATTTTTTAATGGCGATTTTTTAAATTTTACTTCAAGAACCTGGAAGACCCACCCATTTTCACAGCTCAATTGTTACACAATAATATTATGCAATTGCGTGTTGAAGTATTCAAAGTATTCCAAATACTGTAGCCTGTTTAGACTATCGATACATGTTTTACAAAATACATTTTAATTCAGAAATTCAGTATTCAGGAATAATATAAAAAAGTATTCTCCCCAACACTGACCACAGAAACTACACTGTTTCTGTGGACATTTCATGTGTTCTTATAATTTGCTTTTTTATGAACGGTATCTTTTCCTGTTTTTTTTTCTTCTTTTTTTTAAAGGACAGAGGACAAAGGGAACAAATTGGATACCTACCAATTCAAAGTCAGAGCTTAGCTGCTGCAGCTCACCAGATTGTCCATTATCTATTTCATTTGACACATATGGTCATAATCATGACGCAGGACTTTCGCAAAGCTCTGGGACAACAATAGAAGGACAGTGTTCATAAACCTAGAAATGTATAAGGTTGATTTAAAATCCTGTTACACAATCAGTCTGTGATCACCGCCTCCTAAAAGCTGCGTTCTAATAGGTCACAGGATCAGAGTTTGAGGGGTGTCACCCTCCCACCTTCATCTAATGCCCATGTCAGATGGCCGTTCTCTCCATCTTTCCATTTTATATCCTCTATAATTAGAAACCATACAAATAATCTTTACTATCAACGAGAAGAATCACCACCTCATTACCACTTCTGTCTGAGGGGGTAATTATAGGATGAAAAGAGCCCATGCAGGATGGGATGTGAGCTTGGGGCATCTTACTCTAATGGCTGATGTCTTCATGACTGTATCTGCCCTGTTGCATCCCTCAGATATCATCACTATAACTCACTTTAACAGGGGTTCTTTGAAATAGTAAAAAACATAATGATTGTTAGTATTTTAGGGCCCAATACAGTGTAATCAAACACAGCCCTGTCGGGATGTGAGGTCTTTTATTAATGACCCGCTCACACAAAGTGCTGTGATCTTACCTTGTGATGAAATAAACCATTGTGTGTCCTCAGCCCAATATGCTAATCCAGGATTATATGTGGGCCAGGCCTAATGAGTATCATCCTTACCCTTTCAGATATGGAAATGCTTCAGGAGTGGACAGTGTGGAGGGGCTTTTGTGAGCTCTGTATCCTTCTTCATAAAAGGGACGGGACAGTAAAGCAAGACAAGATACAGATTTATTACTCTTTATATTGGCAACACTATACTACAATTCTTTTTGCAGTGACAAGATGTGACAGACAGTGATAATGAGGGTGAATAAATTAGGATATGGTGTATATGTTACTTTGACTAAACTAATAGGGGTGTATACAATATTATATTTCACATGTGCTCTGGCTCTGACTACTTTTGAGAGTAAAATAGTATTTAGTTTACTCTCAAAAGTAGTCAGGACTTGGTTTGAGTTTTTTTCTTTACAAAAAATATATACACAATATTATGTATATTTTCAAGTTCTACATGAAACGCGATGAATACATGTGCATCTTTCTTCCTCGTCTTCTCCGTGTACAGGAATAACACTGTACCTTCTAATATTCACATGGAACGCAAGCCAAAGACAAACTGCTGATAGAATATGCACATGTATGTGGGATACTTCCGTTCATCATGCAGATGCTTGTTTTGCCCTTTTTAAGGCTATAAACAGCCTTCATTTTTGTGCCGTCTGTAAAACAGCAGCACAGTCTCCGGGACGTATGTGTATTCGGTGTCGTCTGTGCGTGTGGCTGGACCATAAGGCTGGACACTAACTGCAGCCTGCGCTGGTCCGAGTTACTGTCCAAGGTGCTGAAATCTGCCTCGGGTCACGTGACTGGACTTGCTCGCTCCAAGTGAGCGCGAGCGGAGCTGTGTGTGCGCCAATGCGCGTGTGTCTGGACACTTCAGTGCTCATGATGAGCGATGAGGAAGGCTCTCCTAAGACGTCGTCCGTCTGACTGTAAACGAGGAGGGATGCTCGCACCGCGCTGAGCACAATGCAGAAGGGGATGAGGCTCAATGACGGCCACATCACCTACCTGGCGCTTCTGGCGAAGAAGGACGGCACCAGGAGAGGTTTCTTGAGCAAGAAGAGCTCCGACAACACAAAATGGCATTCAAAGTGGTTCGCTTTGTTACAAAACATGCTTTTTTATTTCGAAAATGACTCGAGTTCACGACCCTCCGGACTGTACCTGTTGGAAGGATGCGTGTGTGACAGGGCACCATCTCCCAAACCTTCTCTGTCAGCAAAGGAATGTCTGGAGAAGCAGGTAAAACACAGCTTTGCGCAGATCACCACAGGGATCTCTCAGCACTGCTCCGCTGTTTTACATTGGGTCTGTTACAATACATTTAAGGTGAAATGTTAAGTGAAATGTAAACATTTGTTTTTTAACCATTGCATTCAACACAGGTACTATTTATGAACACCCAATTTCCCAGAGACGTTTGCTTTAGTTGACTTGACGTTTGCTGTTACGTAACGGCGTCATATTAACTGATTGATTGTCTCATTTCTGTACTAAAATAGCCTCTCGGCCAGTCTGGCATATTTAGGGTTTCTCGTGGATGCAGTATCGTGCTTGTTATCGTTCCAAATAAAAAAGGTCGCAGCAACAAAAATGTGAACGACGTATCTGCGCCTGTTAAAGTTTAAGTGCAGCCAAACTTTGTCGGGTTCCATCTTGCGGAGGAGAGCTGCCCCCTTCCCCGTCGATTTGACGTATTGATTTAATTCTTCTCTTGATATTAATAGCATCCTACCTTGGCAACTGCGTATCCCCAGTTTGGACGGTATCGGCATGGTTTATTTGTAACTGGCCTTATAAAACCGAGATGGCGAGAAGAACGAGTCATATTGTTGCATTTCTCCTGGCCAAACCCGATGCTTTTGTTCCTGTTCGCTGAAATAGCATCTCCCGTGAACAGCTTATCTTGCAAATCCTTTGGTTGTTCCTGACGTAAAACCTATGTTTTCTTAAACATATACGGTACAACAACGATACACTAGAAGTAGGCGTGTTGGAATATCCAGGCTTATTCTGACCGCTTTATAACGTCAAGTTTCATTGTATGATACTCTTGGACCACTTTATGTTCCCTCACACTTGGTGTTTTTGCTGATGGTGTTGTTCCTGTTGTCCTTGGAGATAAACACTGAACCATTTTATTTGCACTAAGTGGAGCAGCTCCAAATTCATAAACACACTGTATGACATACAGAATTGCTCGTGCAGACATCCTCAGTAAATGTAATTCAGCCAGCAATTAAGCCCCTTTTAAAGTCTACTTTCTCTGCACCTGTACCAAACCAGTCACAATAAGTTATTCAGGTAAAGCATAGTTCTTCATGCAACCTAACTCTATGACAGAAGTTTTATTTCATCCAAAAGCACAGCTCTTGTTTGTGGTTGTGCGCAGTCTTCTCATCTGTGTCAGGAGGAGTGGCCAGGTGAATGGCCCATCTTATCTGTGTGTGACAGACTCAGGCACAATGCAGTGAAAAGATGCCAGGGCGACTGCCACCTTGCAGGTCTGAAGCACTTTTTATAGGCTCAGTCCTGAAAAAGCCAAGACGCAGGTCTCTTTCCTCTCTCTCTCCTCCATCTGTCTGTGCTGCATTTCTATTGTATTTTTGGAGTGTTCAACTTTTTATTGTTATTGTTACTGATCAATTGTCATTTTTCACTATTTAGAAATTCAAGCTACATCTAAACCTTCAGTTACCATGACAACTCCTATTTGCATCTGAAAAAGTGCATTAGAAGGGGCCAAAATGTGCTACAGCATTCATTGGCTCTGTGCTTTAGTTGTCGAAGGAATTTTATGCAAAAGGTTTGGTTAAATGTTATAAAATAAGAATGCCTTTCAAATACTTGTGTCTATGGTGGAAGTTTCATAAGGAACAATGCTATTTTTAGTTGCAGCTTACAGTTCTGTCACAACCAGGATACTGCATTAGATCTAGACCCGCTGTTGTAAAATAAGCTTCAACCCAGAACACCATTAATAGCGGAGAATAAAATGACAAATTATTACTATTAAAATTATTTCTCATGTGCCATCCAATCATTACCTCAGAATATTGGTTGCTGTAGCAGCACACTGAAAACAAAATGCTCCTTGATTTGTGTTATACAAGAATTTTCAGTGTTGTCTCACTCACTGAGAGATAACTAAGGCATAAATATAGCGACATCGAGCTAAACATAGCTTCTTAAAAGGCTTGACACACCAGCTCACAGGAAGATGGCGATGGGAAAGACATTATTGACAAGTGCCCATTCTGCCGCTCCTCAGGAAATATGGAACATTCTCCCCAATCAGAAATGATTTAATAGTGGCATTTGAGACGTATACACAAATCCAATATATTGAATTTGAGACTATTTATAATAAATCAAAATTATGTATTGCCATATTGGCTGCATCAACAACGATCAAACTGCGAATGCTATTTTCAAATTGCCGGGAACTAAAGGTACAAACATTGGCACAGTTTTATTAGAAGACTGTTGGGTCCATACTAGCGGACCACCAGGAAAAAGGACCCAACAGAGTCTAATGAATCACAAGGACAGCACCAAACTGAACCAAACAAAGCATCAGCGGAAAGGTGAGTTGCCAGGTTACAGACAGAATGCACAGAGGTTTTGTAATGGCTCCCAAAGTCACTTCCCAAAGGATCCTCAGTCCTTATTTACTAACAGCAGAAGCAGCAGCGGCAGTGTTTATGTATAGTACAGAAGTTCACACGTTTATGACGCAAAAAACAGGAAAGATGACATGATGGGGCTTTCTCTTGTGTTTACAGTACTACTTCATTATCAGTTTTAACCATGACAACCAGAAGGCACTGGAGCTGCGTTCAGAGGATGTCAAGGACTGCGATGAATGGGTGTCTGCAATCACACAGGCCAGGTATACGCACATCCTGTTTACACAAGCTGTACATGGTTGGCTGCTGAAAGGCTTGACTCTTGACTTAATCTAAAATGCTACAGTCAAATAGTATGTGTGAGTTTATTCTGGTCAAATCTGATGTGAAGCCACTGGGCGTGTGTGGGGAAATGTACTGGTATAATTTAACACAAACAGATACTGTACACATTTTACTACTCGATACGTTATTTTGTTTTGTTCTGTAGTACTTGGATAATGAAGTAGTGGTCCCAGAGAGTCATGAAGCCAAACCATGTAATCACTCAATGTCCAAAGTACACATGTATGGGAAAAGGTCAATTGATTTGTCGTATTGAAGATCACATTGATTAGTAAGACTCATGCAAAGAAGGAGCTTTCACTATTTACTAGTAAAAAGCTGTAGTGATTTAACATATTTATTCATTTTTATTAAGGACACAATACAGTACGGTCCATAGTTAAACAGACAATTTACAATACATGCAGCATATTGTATTTTGAAAAAGAAATATACAATTGGTTATAATGAGATACATAAAATCATGTAAAATGTTCTCACTTCACATTATTTCTATTGGCCTGATATCACAGTGTAGAGAGAGGTGCTCCTATCTGTGTTAATTTCTACAAAGTCAGAAGGTTAATTTCAGATACAGAAGAGCAAAACTTAAAAAAAAAAAAAACATGTAAACATTTTCCACTGACATTGCATTCAGAAAGTATTCAACCCCCTTTGTATTGTTTAAGCCTCATTCCAAAATGTACTTATATTTAATTCTTTCTTATCTATCTAATTGCAATACTCCATAATGACAGAAGGAGGATGTGATTAAAAACAGAACATCACAAGTATTCACACCCTTTATCTATTACTTTTTTGAGGCACCGAGAGCATTTATTACAGCATAGTCTTCTTTGGGAGAATGCTACAAGCTTGGCACACCTACATTTGGGGATTTTTGTCCAGTCTTCTCTGCAGATCCTCTCAAGTTCTGTCAGATTACACAGAGATGTTGAAGACTTGTCCCAAAGCCACTCTTTCTATATCTTGGTTATGTGCGTTTTATCTTTCCCTGTATCCTGACTAGTCTCCTTCTCTCAGCCTCTGACATACATCTCCACTGCATGATGCTTCTATACCCATGCTCCACTGTTTGGATGGTATTTGCCGGATGATGAGCAGTGCCTCCTCTAAACGTGCACACAGCAGTCGGGCAAAATACTTATTATTCTGTGTTTTTACAAACC